CTAATGGTCAAGTGAATGTTATTCGGTATAAATAATGTAATGGACAGTCTGATAGGGTGAGATTGTCGGAAAGGCTTGCCCAGAGCCAGCTAGATCTGATTCACCATTAATACCATGAGTATGTTGACCATTCGAGTTCACACTGATACGCGTTGTACCATAGTTAATGTAGTGCGAATGAGTGCCTTTTCCAATATACTTAGCCTCTGGAAAGTTTTTCCAGTCCGTTAATATGGCTTCTTTACTAGCACCAAACTGTCCACCCTCTCCTGTGCTACCGTGACTGTGTCCAGGATCGTTGATAGAATGTGAATGCACGCCATCTGCTGCAGCACTAAAGGTACCTCTTCCATGTTTGTGTGCCGGTAATTCTCCCTCCAGCAGTTTATGACTCATTTTCCCTCCCGCCATACCCAATTGCGCGGCTTGATTAACACGTATTTCTGTCTCGTCGATGCCAAGAGGGAATCGACCACGAAGATCCGGTAGATTGAACGTTGTCGAACCATCTCCTTGGCCATATTTGACGCCAATGACAGAAAATAACCTTTGATATTCAATACGGGATTTATTCGATCCGTTGCATAATAGCCAAGGCTCTGGTATTGTTGCTGAGTCACCGGTATATGCTTGAATTGTTCCCGTCAATAATAAAGCTCGTTGACTTGTTGACAAGATTGGTTGAGTCAACGTGCTTACTCGACGGATAATTGCACCATTTGACTTGTCAGCAATCAATTGTTTGGCAATAATGGCAACTTGAAGACGATCGGTGATATCGGTCAATCTGAAGATGTTGAAAGATTTTGGTATCCACTTTTCACCTGTCCATTCACCCTCAATTCTGTCTTGCGTTAATAGGTATTGGATCTCCGTGGCCGAGAATATTGATTGACTGGTCGTCGCCAGTGTATTTGACAATGTATTAGACGATGCACCATTTCCTCCAATGTTGCCACTAACAATTCCGAAGACGTCAAATCCGATTCCACCACCACCTGAGCTAGCTGACGCTTCTGCATGTGTCTTGTTTAAATCAAAATAATTATCCGAATAATTATGTCGTTTTGTTTCTGTCTCATTGTATCGAAAAACTTTGTTTATCTCCGTTGTGATACGATCAGGATTCAAATCATTCGCTGACCATATTTGATCATAAAGTTTGCTGGACACCTTCGTCTCCGTCGCGTATGCCATTCCTGAAATAAACATAAAGATAGTCAAGTCTTTCTGGCAGACTATGTTCATCTTGAGAATAGACTACCCTGTTGCAACAACGAAGTAAATTGATCTTCTAAACCGTTTGTTAGCGACGTAAGATTTGCATTTGCATTTTCAAGATAAATCATTTTTTTCACATTTGTTACATATTTACTGACAAACGTAGATCCCTGATTTCGATGGATGTACTGAGCATTTGTATTTCCACCATCGACAATTGTTTTGCTCAAAACGCTTCTCAATTGATCAGTTGTTATCGATAAGAAATTAGTCGTTATTTGTTTGAACCCAGCAAAGTAGAATGCGATCTCAATTTCATAATAGCCTTGGGCTAGTTTGTCAACAACTTCCTGAGCATTTTCGTTCGATGAACATTCAAATCGAAACATGACTGACAGTGCGTTTGGATTGGTGTCAGGAAAGTGGCGAACACCTTCAACCGGTGAGTTGCTTCCCTTAACAACATAGGCTGTGAGCGAATCGATCATCAATGGTGCGACAGTCCAAAATTTTGAATATTTTGATGTTTCCAAATCATATTTATTCTCGATTGCTTTACGCGCCAGTTCTTCGACTTCAGAATTACCTAACATTAATTTAACTCGAACTTCTTTGTCCACCGCAAATGCCCATTTATCACCATCGTTCTTCTGGACTGGCAACATGATTGGCACAAAATAGAAAATCCACTTTTCTCGTGTCAGTTTATTTTCATTTTCATTCGACAATGCATTGTAAACATAAATTTGGCTACCTTTGTAATTAAATATTGTGAATATTTGAGTGTTCACAACAGCTGTACCCAAGCTTGGATCACGCGATAGCGATGATTCATCGCCTTCTACATTCCTAACACCATCATCTGTAGCAACCAATTGAACAGAGGCCAGGTGTGGAGAAAGATTTTCCTCGATAGCGTTTGAAGCCACCAGGCCAAAGACCATCAGCAAAATCAAAATACTAACGTATATCGGATATATTGTCATAGTTTGATAACAACCATCAGAATGCAACTATTATATGAAGACTATACATTATTCTTCTCTCTTATATATCTATGAAGCATATAGTATAATATGATGAACATCAGCGTAATGCTACAATACAACAACTTCCACCAACGTCCAGCACGTTTAACAAACAACGTAAATATTAGCATTGATAATAGTGAAATTTCTGATCGATTATTTTTTCTAGTTAAGGGGAGAACAAAGAAACTGATTAGTCGCTTGCACTTGACATGCAAATTTATAACAAGATTATCGATTCCACAGTAAATAAGAAACCGATCACCTGAGATATCAAATATTTGTTGCTTTAATTCACATATTGCTCAACTTTCTGAGATTAGGAGAAATCTGAGGAATCTGTGGATTACAGCAACAAATATTTGATATCTCAGGTGAACGATTTCTTATTTACTGTGAAATCGATAATCTTTTATAGAGCATATCAAGTTACACATGTCAAGCTATTTTTATAACTATTCGATTAGTTTTAACTAACGAGGGAAGATTCCCAAGTGTTCAAGCCGTTTAGACTTCATCTTTTGGCCATAAGTAGACCTCGATGAGATATGAAAGGCCTGAAAAGGATTCATTCCCTCGTGCCTTCATTCCTAGGATATTGAATTTTCAAGATATCCTATGAGGAAATGAGAATAAAACGATCTATGACTATTTTTTGAGAATAGTGTAACATCAATGGCTGAAGCTTTTTCCTCAGTATTATGCGCTCATTGCACGATCTATTTGGATTTGAGAGTTGGATATAACTCTATCTATAACGATTCTATTCGTTATTCATGAGTTCAAATAGCATACAAATTCTTATGATGTTCTTAATACCACTTTAAGACATAGTGAGTCTTAATGGATGGGCGATGATGATGCATTATCAGCACTGTTGCTTTTCTCTCTCTTTCTCGACATACCACCTCGTTTGTGTAAGGAATGTTATACACCCAGATGCTTTGTTTGATGTTCTTCTAGTAAAATTTTCCTTCTGTTCTCTTTTGTACGTGTTTCTGCTGTATAATCGCTCTTCTTTTGATTTTATCTCTTACAATAAATCAGTGCGGTGCAAAAGTTGAGCTGAATTCAGTCTTAACAGTCTCTGTTTCGAAATGATTAATCCATCAAACGTCATGAAAATTCTCGCTGATCGAGTCTCAAACCTACTGCCTTCTGTTTTCTCGACCACCTCGACTCCCACTGCCTCTATTACAAACCGTGAATGTGAAGTGGCTGATCAGCTGTGCACTGTGCTTGAGTCGATTGTCAACAGTCATTCGCACACTTTCGAAATCAAAAGTATCCTTGGTATGCTAGCGGATATACGGACGCTCATCCAGGACCTTTTAAAACAGTGGCTGAAGTCTGCTTCTCTCTTGACGTTGCCATCTGTGTTGCTCTGTCTTGTGATGCAGGGCCTTTTATCTGCTGCCACAAACCGCTGTGTTTTACTCATTTTTTCTTGAACTATCACTTCCACTAGTTTTCTATAGGAAGATTGTCGTGCTTTAAAAACTGGTATTAAGAACATCATAAGAATTTGTATGCTATTTGAACTCATGAATAACGAATAGAATCGTTATAGATAGAGCCAAAGCTATAATTACATTCTTGATTCTAATTTTGGCTAGCCAAAGGACAGGGGACAGTTTCTGCAAGAATATGGTCCTATATATTTTTGGGAAGATAACGACTGGACCTGATCAGGACCCGTTCATTATTTAGTTTTTAATATTTCTGCGCCTTAAAAGTTGATTGTAGACTACCCTATGCTGAAACTTTTAATCATTTCTGAGCATCGGTTCAAAAAGCCTGCTCGATCGTATTTATTCATTTTTCTCTGCCAGCTCGATGGTCTTAATAGAATCTTATATACAAAAACATGCGTAATTAAACGGGCTTTAAATGATCTATAGCACATCTTTTCAAACTAATGTTTTCATACAGTGATTGATCAAACATTATCTATGACTATTTGCTTCCCGTATATGTAACCTTCATTGAATATAATAAATGTTCAAGTTTGAAGTCAAAGGCGGACGATATTTTGCTGCCCGTGAGAAGTATTTGTGGGACTGAAATATTCGGATTTATCGGAACAGGATTTTCTCGTACGGAAGAATCTCCTTTATATCTCACGTGTTTTCTTAGTTCTAACTTCTGAAATAGGACGTAGCATTTGACCGAGGAAAGTTGAAAGTTTCACGGTTGGAGACTTGATTCTGGCAACAATTGGACGCAGAGGCTCGCCGATTTTATGACCTTTGGGATTGTAATACAGGCGTGGTAGTTCGTACTTGTCCGCAGAGGGTTGAACTTTCTCATATTGAGCATGGGTAACACGTTTCCGTTCGACACAAAGTTCCAGAAGCTAATTTTTTCGGGCGTGCACACACACATTACCGCAGGAGAAGAAACATTCCAAAGCACCTATACCGAGAACGCCGGCACTTTACTTCTTAAAAGAATACTTTTCCCTCTATCTTGATCGTTGGTACGATTACGTCGACGCTGCCAACCCTAAAGAGCAGAAAATTGAGCCCGAGACACAGAATTTGATCGACATGGAAGAAGATAAAGGTGTACTGAATACCCACCCCACTCAAGATCCATTCGCCGAAAGTTTTCCGGTATTCACATCAAAAGTCCTAAACTATTTTAAGAAGGAAAGGATCCCGCTTGACATGCAAAACTTGAAAACCGAATACAACTAGCAAAACCAGAAGCCAGGCTCAATTTGAAAACTCTACTACCCTCTCTGGAAGTGTTCGACTTTACGTTAAGAACACACTTCGCCATAGGTCGGTCCGACGTGGTTCCTGTTGTTGGGCATTGTTGTATGACAACCTATTACTAAATAACAATAATTAGTACAACATCTCTAATAACATTGTCCATAGTTCCTTTGTTATGACTCGGTTATTTCCAATCTTGGCAAAGGTTTTAAATTTACCTTTCTCAATATATATTTTTGATCATAATTAATAAATAAACAATAAACTATAGCATAGTTTCACGAATATATTCTTATGGGGTTCCTAGTTTCAGAGTTTCACAGTATTATAGTATCACTTTCGTAGTTTCACAGTATCACAGTATCATAGTTTGACTCTCATAGTTTCAGAGTTTCACAGTATTATAGTATCACTTTCACAGTTTCACAGTAACATAGTATGACTCTCATAGTTTCATAGTATCACAGTATCATAGTATCACTTTCACAGTTTCACGGTATGGCTTTCATAGTTCCACAGTATCACAGTATCACAGTAGCATACTATCATAGTTTGCCTTTCGTAGTTTCACAGTATCACAGTATCATAGTTTGACTCTCACAGTTTCAGAGTTTCACAGTATCATACTATCATAGTATGACTTTCATAGTTTCATAGTTTCACAGTATCATACTATCACTTTCACAGTTTCACGGTATGACTTTGATAGTTCCACAGTATCATAGTATGACTTTTATAGTTTCATACTTTCACAGTATCATAGTATCACTTTCACGGTATCATACTATCATAGTATGACTTTCACAGTATCACAGTATTCATAAGAATGATGACAGTTTGATCATTCTTTTGTAAAGAAAAGTGGTTTTGGAGTCTAGATATTAGGAATAGTCAATTACGTTGTACATCGAAAAGATCTCACTAAGGCGACTGTGATTTTTACTTAAGGATCTTCGTGTTGAGATTTCACGCTTTCCTACAGTACAGTACAATTAGTTCACCTTCCAACTTCAAAGAAAGCCATCTGTTTGATCTTTCTTCCTTCTTCGCGCTTATAGAAGTGAACATAGACATCAAGAAAAGGAGAAAAGAACAATTTTTCTATTTTAATCTAGATAT